GCAGATGTAAGAAGTGGGGAGCATCTGGCAGGCTAGGAAGGAATGCATCTGGCAGGCTAGGAGGGGGAGCATCTGGCAGGCTAGGAGGGGAAGCATCTGGCAGGGTAGGATTGGGGGAGCATCTTGCAGGGTAGGATGGGGGAGCATCTAGCTGGCTAGGCTGGGGGAGCATCTTGCATTGATGGTAGGATGGTTAAGCATCTTAACGGCTAGGATTGGGGAAGAGGCATTTGGGGAGGAGGTCGAATTAATTCAGCTTTGTTCTAAAAAAATATCAATCTTTAAAAATCTTAAACATGTTTTCTAGGGATTGAATGGAGCTGTTGTTGGAAAAGTAACTGATGCACTGTGTGCCAAGTATAAAACTTGCGATAAAATAAACAATGGAACATATACGTAAGTTTATCAAATTTGTATGTCAAAATAATTCTTCCTGACATTTTTTCAATTTAACAGGAGAAATCGACTGAGGGTGTGCACCCCCTGAGGGGGGTCACCCATATAAAAACTACTTTAAAATCTCACTTTTGCCCTTAAAGTCTTATCAAAAAAGCTTTGTTCAAAAATTTGTAAATATATCTTTGATATCATTATTTATAATTCTACAAGATGTATCGTTTCTATGAAAAAATAGATTTTTTAAGAAAAGTTTCAATCTTTATTTTTCACCCATTGACGCTTACATCACAGTATAAATAATTCTATTAATAATTTATCAACACTTGTTATATTCAAGTGTGTACATGATCGAAAAGTCAATATAGTCCTATATTTTCAAAAATGGGTTTTAATGAGGGGCATGATGTTGCCAAAGGGGGGGGCGCATAATTGCTATCGTACACCCCTTCCTTTTTATTAATTCTACGATTTTTAGGACAGTTTATAAGAAGCAGGAAGCTTGTGAGGAGGAGGCTGTATGTATGTGGAAGCAAGGTGCTTGTATGCAGAACAGAGATGTCTATAACAACGTGTGTAATCCACCTGATGTCAAGATCAACCCTGTATGCAATGCTATAACTAAGGGAATCTGTCCTATTCAATGGCAGGTAATGTCCGAGTTCTGGCTATTAAAGGGAATCTGTCCTATCCAATGGCAGGTAATGTCTGAGTTCTGGTTATTAAAGGGAATCTGTCCTATTCAATGGCAGGTAATGTCAGAGTTCTGGCTATTAAAGGGACTTTAAGCGTAATTTCAAATCAGCCTCCGTGCAATGATGGCAACGTCCGATTTGCGAAGTAACTCTGAAAACTTAATCAGGTAAATGTGGAAGATGTCGTTTGTTTTGACTTAAATTGCACCCTGCGACCGACGGGTTTCCCGATCCGTTAGCACCCTACGAGTTTCTTTATTGCTTCTTATTTATAAGAAGAAATGTGCTAACTGTGATATCCAAGGTTTCAAGGGTACCGTTGTAAATCGGGGTTGTCATCTTCGCATGGAGGTCTACTAGAAATTCGCTTACAGTCTTAATTCTGGAAAATGATTACGTCGGTGCACTCATGTTTATGCCCAGGGTTTCCCTCTAAAGGTGAGAAATTCTAAAGGTTTGTTTTGGTGTTTTGTCAAGATGTGCTTAATGTTGTTTTGTCATGATGTGCTTAATGTTGTTTTGTCAAGATGTGCTTAATGTTGGTTTGTCATGATGTGCTTAATGTTGTTTTGTCAAGATGTGCTTAATGTTGTTTTGTCAAGATGTGCTTAATGTTGGTTTGTCATGATGTGCTTAATGATTTTGTGATTAACCAAAAGTTTGAAGCTAAAGGAAAGTAAATTAAAAAACTGCATGTTCAGTACAGAACTCTAAATGAACCAGTTTAATTATCCTGCAACATTTTAACTGTATTAATTGATTATTTAACTGATTATTTTCAGGTGAAAGCTGAGTGTTGTGAGGGTGAGGATGGAAAGTATAAGGAGAACCTTGAATCTAGGGATGGGTTTGTGTGCTGTAACACCCCCTGCGAGTCTCTGGAGAAATCAACTGGATCTAATCCTGACGTCTGTAAGTGGTCTGACCATAGGAACAATACGCAGTGCGGACCATCGGGAAAAAGTTTCTTTGGAGGTTAGTAAAACGTAGTTTTCACCTTTTTTGGCCCCACTGACTATGTGGATCTTAGCAACCTGATGTTTTTTTAACCTAAGTAATAAGTGTTCTCCTGGTTTTTTTTTATTAAAATATGTCTGTTTGCAGATGTAAGAAGTAATTGGTGGTTTTTTTACTTGGGAGGTTGCAGCAACCCTAGACTTAATTTACTTTCATAATATGTACAGTGTTGTCACTACTGGATTAAAATTTTGACACTTCAATATTGTCTTTAAAATTTGGTTTACAGTTTAGTTTTTTCTTGGGACATAACAACTTCTGCTTAAACAATTTCTGCTTATTTCTGCTTATCTAAAATTGGTCCCAGTTTTTTTTAGGAAATTTGCTTTGTTGGTAAAGGATCTTCAGTTTACCGAACGCAACCAAACCTGAATATATAGAATATTGCAAACATTCACTAAATGGTTTATAATTATGTTCCTTATTTCTTTCAAATTTTAATTTATCTGTTCAGGGCCCTTTGGGCTTTCTCCAGGTTATGGAGAATACTTGCCTCCTGATGCCGTTGAGTCTATGTTTGGTCTCCGTCCTGGTCGACCAGTTCAATATGGATCCGTCCGTCCTGGTTTTGGATACCAGGTTTGATATTTCTTTTTTCACTTGAGGGAAAGGGAGGGGGGTGTAATTACGAGGGGAGTGATTATTATCGCCACGCCTAGATTTTTAGTGTTTTGTTCAAGCCTGAACTATTTGAAAACTAAAAATCTCATTTTATACAATGGATTGTGATTTATATAAAGTTTATTGAAAATCCACTGGATTGTTAAAATTTACTTAACATGGATTTTAATTTTGTAACTGTTTTATTTGATATTTAATTTAGTAGAGTAAATGTTTTTTAGAAGGGGGATGGGCTTAACTTAATCTTTTTTCATTCTTAATGTAATCGCATATTATGTTCAGGGGATACCCGGTCCTGCTGCTATTGGTGCTATTGAGCAGATTGGTGTTGGGAAGAGTAAAGAGTATCATACGGATGAAATCACTGTGGATGATCTAATGGATACTCTCATCTACGCTCTTGATAACGACAATGATGTGTTCGAGAGAAATACTGAGATTAATTCTGATCCTTGGTTTGGCAAGCAAGTGTTTGGTGGGAATCAGAATGATTTTTCCTTGATTGATCCATACAGATTTATTGATCAGATTTACGGAAATCCGTTTGGATTATCTCAGGCCAAACTTAATTATGGAGAACTCTATGGATTGGAGGACAGTAAATTTAGAAATCCATCTAAGGGGTTTGAGTATGATTACAGTCTTAGGCCACAATATGGAAGTGGCCCCAGCATGTATGGGGGTGGAAAAGGACCTTATGGGGATGGGTCCTACGGTGGTGGACAAGTCGGTAGACCTGGGCCTTATGGTCCAACCAGGCCTGAGCAGTACAAGACTGGGCCTATATCTAATGGACTGAGAGCAGACACTTATCTGAAACCTATGCTAAACCCTATGTATAATCCAGGAATGATCCAGCAGACAGGACAAGGTTTTATGGGAATGGGACAGAATTTTGGAGGAAACCAAGGAGCAAGTGAAGGTTTATTGAGACAACGTGGGGTTTATCCAGATCAAAGTGTTAACCTGCTCAGCCTGCAGATGGGTCAAGGTCTACAAGATATGGGCCAAGGTACGCGAGGCATGGGCCAAGGAATGTCCGGGTTTTATATGGGCCAAGCACAGATTGGAATGGGCCAAGGAATGTCTGGACAGATTGGAATAGGCCAAGGAATGTCTGGACAGATTGGAATAGGCCAAGGAATGTCTGGACAAATGGGAATAGGCCAAGGAATGCCTGGACAGATGGGAATAGGCCAAGGAATGTCTGGACAGATTGGAACGGGCCAAGGAATGTCTGGACAGATTGGAACGGGCCAAGGAATGCCTGGACAGATTGGAACGGGCCAAGGAATGCCTGGACAGATTGGAATGGGCCAAGGAATGTCTGGACAGATTGGAATGGGCCAAGGAATGCCTGGACAGATTGGAATGGGTCAAGGAATGCCTGGACAGATGGGGATGGGTCAAGGAATTCCTGGACAGATGGGATCTGGCCAAGGAATGCCTGGATACATGGGAACTGGCCAAGGAGTGCCTGGACAGATGGGAACTGGCCAAGGAGTGCCTGGACAGATGGGAACTGGCCAAGGAGTGCCTGGACAGATGGGAACTGACCAAAGAACGTTTAGTCAAACCGAAATGGGACTAAATGGTTTTTTTCAACAGGGGATAAATCTTGGAAGTTTCAACCAAAATCGCCAACCCAATGGAAACCAGTTTGGTGCAGTTCCTGGTGCAAGTCCATCTAATACAGGACAACTTCCAGAAATGGGACAATATCCAGTTCCACAAGCAAATCAGCAGATGAGTAGTGGACCCCGTGTAGAACAATCTAACCAGCCACCATCCTCAAGATTACCTCGACCTGAAGGTCTAAAACCAATCCAACCTTTACAACCTGGAGGATCTCTACAATCTGGTCAGGGTCCAGCTAGAGAACAGCAAGGTACAGGACCAAACCTTCAAGTACAGTTGTATCCACCTAGCCAAGGACCCAACTTTCCACAAAGTCAGTCTGGTTCAGGACCTAGCTTTCCACCAGGACCGCCCGGTCAAGGACCTAGCTTTCCACCAGGACAGTCTGGTTCAGGACAAAACTTTCCACCAGGACTGTCTGGTCAAGGACCTAGCTTTCCACAAAGTCAGTCTGGTTCAGGACAAAACTTACCACCAGGACAGCCTGGTCAAGGACCTAGCTTTCCACCAGGACAGCCTGGTCAAGGACCTAGCTTTCCACCAGGACAGCCAGGTCAAGGACCTAGTTTTCCACCAGGACCGCCCAGTGAAGGACCTAGCTTTCCACAAAGTCAGTCTGGTTCAGGACACAACTTTCCACCAGGACAGCCAGGTCAAGGATCTAGCTTTCCACCAGGACAGACTGGTCAACGACCTGGACCAAGTCGCCCAGAAGTCAATGGATTGAGGAATATACCAAGTCAGCAAGGTCAAACATCCCAACCATCCAATGCAAAGTCGAGTCCAATACCCCAGCAGCAGTACAATCAACAAGAACAGTATATCCCAGATGATTCATTTGATAATCTGTTAGATAGTTATGAGATGTTTGAGACTATTTACGAACGACGTAGAGCAGCGGAAAACCGTCCTTGATTTTTAAATTTTTATATATGTAATTTTCTAGCTAGTTAAACTAATAAATTTTTTACTCTTTAATCAATTCATTTTTATGATTTTTATGATACGATTTAACAGCGAGAACTTTTGATTATGAGAATATTTCACTAATTTGATCAGGCTTTTAAGATCCATGGCCAGTTGTATGAACTGAGGAAGGTTTCTTCAATTTCCTCAATCAGTTAGGGGTGGTAGTAGTATAAATCTAGATTTATCAAGCTTAGGTACTTTGGTACTTTTTTCCACTGTGTATATAAGCCTAATTTGAGAGTTTTTCTGTCTGATTCTTCTGATCCTTAGCTTGTTGGTTTTTTAATTTAAAATAGAGCTAAGATGAAATTTATCTGTAGGGACGTTTACGAAGTAAATTTTCTCACGATTTTTTATTTTTGAACATTTTATCTATTTTTGGAAAGCTATTAGGTTTTTGCAAATAAATGCAAAAATCTATCTTTGTAAACCTTTGATTTATCAAGCGTAGTTAATTGTTTCGAAAGATACAAATATTATAAAATTAAAAGTTTGTTGATTTGATTCCTTTGCAAAAAATCGAAATATTTATAGCAAAATTCAGTTTTTTAGCCATAACCATGACAAGCTTTACAGTGTGGAAAGTTAACTACCTTAACCCTGACATGAAAAATCTATCCAAACTTCATAATAGCGCAATCTTAGTTTTTGCGATTTTTCGCTAAATAACTTAATTTGCAATAAATAGTTCGAATTTTTCTAATTTTTGGCAAAAATGTTCGCAGGATTAAAATTTGTTCTACAGGGGCAACTATATTTTTTGCTACAGAGTCGATTACCCTATTTCATTAAAATGCCTTAACTGACCGGACTAAAATGCCATGTAACCTAGAAGTGCTACAAGTGCAGTGTACTACTATTATATCAAATTTTAAACTATTTCTATCGAGAGTATTGAAGATACTTTGTTGAATTAGGATGTCGTTGAGCAAACAACGAGTACGTGGATATAGAAGTAATTCTGCAATATAAGCAATATGAAAAAACCCTAGTTACAGAAATGTGGCTCATGCTAAACTAGACGGGAGGGTGTAAAATATATTCGATATTACTGATACCACTTTATCACCTGGTTGCTCCTAGTTTTGATCTTTCATACGAGTATGAGAAATTTATTTTGTTTCAAATTAGCAATTTAAAACTTTTTTTTCTTAAACAATAGCTCCTTAACTTGTTTGTGTACAAGTATTTGTAAATTAATTAAATTATCCTAAAAAAGAGTGTTTCTAATTCTCTTAAAATTGTGCAAACAGAGCTAAAACACTTTAGAATGAGATAACCTTAATCCCGATTACTTCTGAGCATTCTTTACACTAATTACCATCATCTATCTATATATATCTCGTTTAGTCTGTATGTTTGTTTGTCTGATCATGACTCAGAAACCCCTGGACCGATTTGCATCAAATTTTCATTCGGGAACTCGGGAGAACGTGCACGGAAATGTTCTTAGCTTGGTTTGGAGATTATAAAATAACTTGCAACAATTGTTTTACATAATTTTTAGTTTTTTGAGTATATTTTGACAACAAATTATTCAAATGTTAAATTTTTTTCATTACAATCATAAAAAGTCAAATTTTTGTAAAAACTATTTTTCAAAATTTTGTCTTCCTTCCCCTTGAAACCTTAAAAAACCTATTTATGCAAAATAACTTGAAACTCAATCTATATATAAAGTTGTAATCTCTGTTTGTCTGTTTGTTTGTCAGATCATAACTCAGAAACTCCTGGACCGATTTGTCTCAAATTTTGATTGGGGAACTCAGGAGACCCTCGGAATGTTCTTAGCTTTGCTTTAAGATTCTAAGTTGAGTGGGTCGACAATTTAGTTTCCCGGTAAAATTGTTCAAGTGCGGGTAAATGGCGGGAGTAATGAGTAACCTGGGCAGCGCTGTGTTCCTAAGCTAGTGTAAATATAAAGTTGGAACTCAGGAACCCCTTCTGCGATTTGATTGGGGACCTCGGTAGAACCATGAGAATGTTCTTATGGTTTAAAAGTTCTTGTTTAAATAAATTGACTCTTAAAAAGAAAACGTTGATTCAAGGCAAAGCAGGGTTCCCAAACTAGTTTATAATATTTATTTCAATTATGATTTCAAAATAAGCCATGTTTAAGGGAGGTTTGAATTCACATAAGTGTAGCAGGAAACATTTTTTTCGACATAATACAGGCACACGATTTGTTAAAGACATAGCTTTGGGAACCCAGCGTTGCCCAGGGTACTCATTACTCCCGCCATTCACCCGCACTTGAACAATTTTACCGGGAAGGAAGACAAAATTTTGAAAAATAGTTTTTACAACAGTTGTTTTCCGCCGTTTACCCGCACTTAGTCGATTTTTAGGAAAACTAAATTTTCGCTTTAAACGCCGACCCACTCAACTAAGAATCTTAAAACCAAAAGCTCAGAACATTCCCGTGGTTCTCCCAAATGCCCCAATCAAAGATTGAGGCAAATCTATTAAAGGGTTCCTGAGTTTTGATCGGACAAACAAACAAACAAACAAACAGACAGACAAATAAAGATTACAGCTTGATATATATAGATTAGAGTTATTTCCTGATTTTCATAATTTGTAACTTATATCCAAAATATAAAGTTGTAATTGGTGTTTGTTTGTTTGTCCGATCATAACACGGCAACCCCTTTACTGATTAGCCTAAACAGGAATGTTTTTAAGCTATGTATAAAACTTTGTTTAAAGACAAAGCTGGGTTCCCAAGCTATTTGACTTATAAAGTAGTTTACAAGATTTATGCCTTATAATAAACATTTTCTACGCAGAAAAAAAAGCTATTTGGAAATTCATTTCCGAATGGAATTTTGTTTATATGATTTGAAATCGTTGATTTTTGAATTTTTTTGTAGCTTTAGATTATTTGCCAATGTAAAATTTTTTTTTTTAAATTATCTAAATATGATATTTTTAAAAAAGGTATCGTTTAAATCAAAAATATTGATAAACCACTTTTTTGGTCATAATTAGGCAAATGTTCGAATCTTCGATAAACCTCTCATGCCACTGTATAGAAACATTTTAAAATATATTTTATTCAAACTTGAGTTTTTTAAACCCTCCTGTACGCAGGCTCATTTTGCTGTATGCGCAGGCTCATTTACTGTATAGCGGAAGCTCATTTAATGTATAGCGGAGACTCATTTAGTGTAAAGCGGAGGCTCATTTAGTGTATAGCGGAAGCTCATTTAGTGTATAGCGGAAGCTCATTAACTGCATAGCGGAGGCTCATTTAGTGTATAGCGGAGGCATTTAATGCATATCGGAGGCTCATTTACTGCATAGCGGAGGCTCATTTACTGCATAACGGAGGCTCATTTAATGTATAGCGGAGGCTCATTTAATGCATAGCGGAGGCTCATTTAATGCATAGCGGAGGCTCATTTACTGCATAGCGGAGGCTCATTTAATGCATAGAGGAGGCTCATGTAATGTATAGCGGAGGCTCGTATTGCCTGGAAAATCTGTGAGGCTTTCATGCTGTATAGCGGAAGCTCATGGCGGCCGGAAATTCCATCCCTCTTTATAATATTTGCATTGTAGAATTTAAATATTCTTTGATCTTTATTTTATTTTAATAAATTCTTAATCATGTTCAGCGTGGTGCTGAGTTATTGCTGCCGGAAAACAAAATAAAGGATGTTAATAAAAAAAACGCAAGATGGTAATTAACGATGATGGAGCTAAAATCCCCTAAATTTACAAAAAGATATTTAATACTTTTCTGGACATCCATGCTCTTAAAAATACACAGAAAGATATCTTCAGGCCAAACATCTGACATTTTGGTGAAAATGATTTACTGCCTTTTATTTTGTATGCAAACATGGAGATTTATTAATTATTAATATTTCTATTTATAGGTTTTAGCTCCCAAAAGTAAAATTTTGCACTCTTCTCTATTCATATAAAAGACGATTGATAATGTGCAAGGTTGAAAAATAAGAAATTACAAACTTTTCCTAGATGGATTCTGAACCTATATGTTCGCATATAAAACAATAAAATTCAATGGTACATTTGTATACAGTAAACACAGAAATGATATATTTAGCTTGATAGATATTCAGTATTTCCTATATTATCAGATCAGTACTATAATATATAATTTCTCTGGTTAGAGAGAGTTAAGCTGATATATAGATCAAGATGCTATATAAGGAAGAATAATTAGTCTATCAAACCCCTACACCTTATACATAATACATATATGTATATATTATGTAACAACCACACCCTTAACAGTCAGGGTTACCCGTATAGAAAAAGACTTTCAGGTTTCACCTGATTGATCACAATCGAAAATAATCAGTTTTCAGCTGATAAAAACTACATTTGACACAAACTCAAACATTCTAATCCATATATCTTTGCCAATGCCGTTAACCTTAAATATTTCGAACTTAGATTATTTGATCCAATAGAATTCATAGTTTGAAAAAGGACTATGACGTTGGGCTGGAAATATAAAGGGATTAGAAAACTAGAGTTTGTGACAAAAACTCAATTCGTTTCTGCGTTTTGGTTTGTATACTGCATAGACTAGGACTAGGAGTCATTCCTTGAATCAATTACAGGAGTCCATAAAAGCAGGGAGTAATGGGAGTCCCATTGCTCCATATATTTTAAAGGAAAATAATTTTTAATTGAACTATATAGGTGAACTGTTGGATGTGCATCTGCCTTGCCATTTTATACATGAATTATAATTTAGTTTTTTTCCTTTTTTTAATTTTTCAATTTTATGTTTCAATTTTTAATTTCATTTTCATAACATTTTTTGATTTGGTAAATTAACACGTTTCAAATTATTCTGAATTATTACGCCCGGTAATGAACCACCTCTACTCTAGTTGATAATCATGTTAGGTATTCTTACTAGTCGTTAAGAGTATACTAACAACGGCAATTTTTTGGACTTTTGAAAACAAACAAACTAATGCAACTTGTATTTGGGGTCTGTTTCAACCAGTCATGACGCATTTTTT